AGAAGAATAAACTCCCCCCACCATGGTGATTGCCTTGCAGAAGCCAGATACTCGCCATTCGGGTGTTTGTAGCCCCCGTCGTCCTCCCTGACGTTGAACTATCTGCTGGTGTGTGCGTTGTCCCCTTCAAAGCGTGGGGTGGCCTTAGCTACTTCACTAATATTTTTCTAACCAGCTTCAATAAGGAATTAACAATTACACTTGCATATATACATGGTTTTAAAAGGCGACCGAGGCGGTCCGCCTCGAGGCGGTAAGGCGGTTGCATTTCGCCTATGAGGCTTAAGCCTCAGTAGGGATACCTGAGGCGTACGCCTCACAATGTTGAGGCGGTTCGAGGCGGTAAGGCGTAACCGAGGCATAAGCCTCACTTTTAATAAGAATTTCAATAACTAAAAGGGTTATTTTTATAAAGCTATCGGGCCTCTTTTACAAAAACTCTTTTGGGCCAATGCACTATAAAGTTTCTTAAGAAAAACTTAATAAACCTAGTAGATAATTATCACTTCTTTCCAAGACTTTTAGTGTCAACTTTCGTCTCTCCATCTTCATACTTCAATGGCACAACTTCACTCTTGTGGTAATCGCTAAGGCAATTACTTCATATTTAATAGCTTATCTTCTATTTCTTTCATCTTCTTCTTTTAACTTTTAATTTTTTCGGTTCCTTCTTTTCCAACATCCCTCTCCCTCTTTTAAATTCGGTTCAAACTTCAAAGAATGATGTAACTTTTTTTTTGCGTGAACTTTTGTCCATATTTAATATTTATAAGGTTTGAAGATGGGTTTGAGACATTTGTGTTTATGTTACTGTGTTTAATCTTTATAATTCTTTTTTTGTGTTTTAAAAATTAAGATAGGGTATCATTTTTTGTAAAATTCAGGAATTATGATTTCATCATTTATTTAACATGAAAATGGATTATGCAATTTGTTTTACCTCGGTGTACATATTTTAGTATTATTTTTTTCATATTGAACTAAGGCTTACGCCTCGTTCCGCCTCGAGGCTTACGCCTCAAGGCATTTTGCTCCACCACCTCAAGGCTAGTTTTCGCCTTTCGAAACCTTGCATATATACTTAGGGTTTATCTTTTGTGTACATCACAAATCTAGGATAAAGCACCTTGTTCACACACCTAAAATATATCAACAAAACATACTCAACCTATGCATTATAATTCAGTAATAGCTATGTTCCACACCGTATCATCAAACATATGTGCCCCAAATGATGCATAAACTAATTGAGGATAGAAATGCTAAAAGATAAAATAGAATAACTCTTATGATGATAATAATCACAAAAAAATTAATAATGACAATTTGGACACTTACCTCAGAATAAAAATTAAGGTGTTAGCAATATAAGCGACCATTTCCCTACAACAAAGGCAGAATACAAATTAAAATTCACTATATAAGATATGGTGTTATATGTATAATTAACTTCGTTTATTCGGTAAGTCACAAATATGAGGTGAAAGAGACTAGCGCGTCGCACGGCCCTTCAACTTCATTGAAAAGAAGAGAGGCCAATAATATTACTCCCTCCGTCCCTAAATAATCTTCATTTGGCGATGTTTGATTGAAGTTATTTTCAATTTAATTTATTCAAACATTGGGGTAAATTAAAAGAAGTATTTATATAAAAACTACAACAGATGTTTTATGGGACAAGAACTGACTCAATTATTTTAATTTATTGTAACAAATGATTAAAGCAAATAAGTTAGGAAAGGAGATATAGTTTGACCATCTGAATAGTAAAAGTGAAGTTTGAATAGTATATGTGACGTTTATTTATGGATGGAACCTAAACAGAAAAGGCACATCCATGTCAAATGTGAAATAAAAGATACAGTAGGATGGCTCCTAATCCCTGTTAGATTATGTACATGTACAAAGGATACTTACCAGAAATAATGCAGACTTTTTTTACCATCACCCTTGAAAGCAGTTTTAGCGGCAAGAGAGTAAAACCTGCTTTTTTTTCTTCTCATTAAATAGAGTGCCTTTTGAGACATTAGGGTTAGTATAAAATACAAATGAACATAACTTACATTCCTACCGTCATGACAGCCAGCACACCAGAAGAATTGGCAAATTCTTGTGCCTGTTACAAATGAGCTGCAATCAGCTTTATAAAGACGTTTATACAAATAGGTCCTGCAAGGTTGCAACTAACAGCAAAAAAATGTGAAGAACTGCATGCATTATAAGATCTAAGGTGATGTTTCAATGCAAGATTATGTTATAATTCTAAATATTGAAGAATATATAAATTACACTTTGAGAGAATTTACTCTGGTTTTGCAACCAAGTACAGCTTATAAAGATATACTTCCTGAAAAAATAGTACACCATCTCAATACTTGTCATTAAGTTGTACTAGAATCATTAAGCTTCACATGCATACACAATGAATAAAAATTTCTCATCATTATTTTATGTTATTGAAGTATATCTATTCGAATGGAATTACTAGAAACGCTAGCTTGTTCTGAGTGAATCAAAATGAAGTTCAGACTGCAGAGTATATTATATACTCTGTGCTCCCTTAGTCCCAAAATATAAAATATTAATAACAATATTAATAATAATAAAACCTCTTTCGCACTTCTGACCCTAAAATGAGTCTCATTTGGTCAATCGGGGCTAGTTTTTCATGTCATTTGCCAAAAACCAATTATAAGCTTTCCCTAACTTAATCATTTATGACAATTATATCTTACAAATTCTATACAGGTGTACCTTGCACCTTAGTACACTTTTTTTGGAAAGAAAAAATATAATACAACAATGCTAAAATAAAATTATACTAATTATCGGTGCTTAGATTGAAGAAAAAAAATTCATATTTATTCTCAGAATTTTCCAATCCAAAGGTAGAACAAAGAAGATTCACAAAGTTCCCAAGTTTGTAATGAAAACGTACGGTGAAATAAGCTACATAGCTCACAGCAACTGTCAATGTGATTTCTATCACTGTATCATTGAAAATAAATCCAAGCCATAAAACAGATGACAATCCGAAGGCAAAACCAATGGCCACTCTGAACACAAAAATAGATACTATAAGGCAAAAGTACGTCTAAGTTTCTATGTGCTTATAAGCTAGTCAAAACTCAAAACTACTTATAAGTTGTTTTTAACTTATAAGTCAGCTGATGACGAGTTTCTCTGTGCTCATAAGCTTGACTTATAAGTTGCTTATAAGTTGCTTATAAGCTAGAAAAAAAAGTAGATTCTACCTACTTATTTTTAAGCCAATTTTTTCATTTCTACACTTTGACCAAATTATTTACAAAACAATCTCTCACCTTTTATGAAATCCCGAAATGACTTACCTATCATTTAAGTCATTTTACTTCTACGAAAAAATATTTAACTTATAAGCAGCTTATAAGTTAAAAATTACTTATCAACCATAAGCCATCAAGCACCAACACAGAGAAACACCCTCTAAATATACATAATTACAGCCAGAAATACATACGCTCCAATGGAAACTTGTAGCAAAAAGCTTATTACTGACGCCCAGTTAAAGCTCCATCCAAGAACCATGCGTAAGAATAGCTGATATACAATGATTGCCGTCCTAAAGAAGAGAAAGTGATTGCCTCTAATGAGAAAGTAGTACAAAACGAAACAAGTGTAATAGATGTTTTGTAAAAAAAAAGTATTCTACATGCTGTAATGGTGAACTACTGGCTGGAAACAAACAAAATTGGATATTGCCTGAATAAAGTTTCTTCTGCTAAACATGTAACGCAATGAGAGGATTTAATTACCCATCATTCATCAAGGATTCTCCTTCAATTATGGTACTCAATTTCTTACTTGCCCCAAGTTCTTTCAACAATGCCACAACAGCCACAGGGTCAGTAGCACTAAGTAGTCCCCCGAACAATAAAGATGTTTTCCAACTCCAGTTATATGGGAAAGCAAGCTTCAATTTGTTATCGTCTTAAATGCTTATTCAAAAATTGATGTATGCATAAAGAAATGAGACTCTACAAACCTTTATTGCACATCCAAGAAAGAAGGTTGAAATGAGCACTCCGGGCACAGCAAGTAGAACCATTTGGACCACACACCTCTGCATTAAAATTAGAAAGAATAAAAAAATAATGTTTGCACTCTTCAAAAGATGGATTTGGTCTCTACACTAAGAAAGGTACTAGTGAGCAACTTTAGCTAGTTTAGGGTTGTCAAGAGACCAACTCAACCAAAATCTCAAGGTTGTGATTGTAGGCCTTGAAAAGGTTTTATACTCTAACACGCCCCCTTACCAAGGATTTTACATTGAAAGTTCACCAACATTTTGTGGAATTTGGCTAAAATAAAATATTGCAAAGTTGACTATCAGAATATAATATTGTGAAGCACGAAATAGAATTTATATCTTTGACAACCCACATATGTTAGAACTCATGTGGAAATCATTAATATGTGCATTGGTATTTTAGCATGATTTCCAAGTGTAGGTTTTGATGAATGACAAACAATGAAGTCAAGATGTTGTGGTTGACTAATAATGAAGAAAAGCATTTGGTGATAACAAATATTGTGTGTTTGAAGTAAAGATTAAGCCAAGGATATGAAGGCAATCAAAGAAGTGCTCAAGAGTTCAAGACCAAAGACCCCAAGACGTAGGTCTTTTGGTAGAACTTAATGTAAGAGCAACGTTTAAGTTATCTTGGATTTTGGCTCAACTTAAGTCAGTTTTTCATATGCATAAAAACCATGATCTTCATACTTGCATCTTCCCCAACCAAAACCATAACCAGCGGTTATCGGCGTTTGGCTATCGGCATTGGTTATTGGCAAAGATGTTAGCCCAATGGTTTTTGAGTTTTTATCTTTGGTTTTTACTTCTGGGCACATTTAATGGTTTTCCAAACCTTGAGTTTTCAAAAACCAAAACCTTCAATTTTCGGCGTTGATTATCGGCGCTCAACATTTGGTTTTCGGCTTTGGTTATTAGTATTTATTTTAGCCAAATGGTTTTAGAGTTTTTATCTTTTTTTTTACTTCTGGACCCATTTAAAGCTTTTCCAAACTTTGAAATTTCAAAAACCATAACCTTCAGTTTTCGGCTATGGTTTTCGGTGTTGGTTTTTCGGCATCCGAATCAACCAAGTATTTTTCAACTTTTTAAGATTTGATTTTACTTCTCGGCATATTTAAATGGTTTCCCAACAAAAACATTCTAAAAACCACCTTTGGTTTTTGGTCTTTGGTCAAAAACCATGAAAACTATCTTTAACTTGGTGATCTGTGGTTTTCACCTTAACGTCGTGGTTTTAAAGTTTTTATACTTGGTTTCTACATTAAATACATAAAATAAGTGTTTCCAACACTTGGTTTTTAATTTGGGAAACTATGATTTTTAACATTGGTTTTCGGTGTTGACTGCCAAACCATGGTTCTGGCGTCCAGACCAAACAGCGATGTTGGTATACCCAACAACGTTGTTTTGGCCATGTCAGTAGGTTTTAAAACAACAATTTTGGACTTTGAACATCCATGTTTTGGCCAGGTTGGCATGCGTCAGTTTTTGGCCGTAGGTTTTTGAACAGCGATGTTCAATGGTGAACATCGATGTTTTCAAGGGACCGTTGGGGTCTTTAAGACAAAATCTTTCCATTTTTGAAAGTCAACAACCCAAACATCGATGTAGCCTTCAAAACATCAATGTTCTCATGACTATTACACATTTTAAAGGAAAGTCAAACCTCAAAACAGCGATGTTCATGGCAAAACATCAATATTCTGAGTATTTTCCTGTAGTTCACATTTTTGAATTCTCCAAATCTTTGACTAATCTATTCTGGATTGTTTTGCAACGGTCAACCCATCTTTAACCCCTATAACTAGTGCCCTTTGGTTGTGTTTTTACATGAACTCTTCTCATTCTTTATATATATATATATATATATATATATATATATATATATATATATATATATCACACACACACACAGACATACGTACACCCGTATGTAAACCATTTCGACCAGTGAACATGTAAACAACCGTCGTGACCGATTCGATCACCGGTTTGATTCTAAAAACTTTGTCATTACGAAAAGCTCTCCTTAAACCTCTCACTACCCCAAACTTAATATATAATGAAGATGCCTAATTCTCTCCAGATGGATAACTACTTTTCCAACATGCTTCTATTGCTCTAAGTGCCAAACTTATCAAGAAATTTAATTATTATAGTTGATATAATAATTGGATTTGCGAATTAACAAAAATGGTCCTATGTGATAGATTTCATAGATTTATCGCTAGACCTGGCAAAAGAGACCCGATACCAATCACCCAAACCGAATAATCTGAAATTGAATCCAAAATGCCCTAAAAATTAAAGACATAAACTAAATCGGAACCGAATTAAATGTATTCAAACCTAAATAAGATTCAAAAACGATCAAACCCAAAACCAATTAGAACCGAAACCAATTAAACCCCAAAACCTACCAAACCCAAATATATAAAGTTTTATTTAAAAAAATTGTGGTTTTAATTAATGAAGATAGAGAGAATGGGAGATGATGTGAACCATTAAATTGTTTTCTTAAAAACAATAGGAAGTTTATTTTGGAACGAATAGAGATAACTAATGAAGTATGACTTTCGACCAAAAAATGAGATATGACAAGAATGATTTTTTTTATTTTTTTATTTTTCTTTTGGGTGGGGGGGACTTCCTTCTCTTTTTCCCGTCAAGGAAATATTTTCTCTTTATTTAACTTAAAAAATGAAAAACTTGAAAAGCTGATTAAAAAAGAAAATAAAGAACATTTTTCCTGACAAGAGGACAATGAGGCATGCAGGATTAAATTTTAATATTAATCAAACCCCAAATTTCCAAACCAATATTCATCTTATCCAAAACTAATCAAAATTGGTACGTCTTGTATCTATCTGAACTAAAATCTACCCGGACTGAAATCTACATGTACCTAAATCAATCTGAACTGATATCTACCTGCAGTGGTATGTATTCGAAGTTTCGAACCATATTTGAATCAAACTCTAATCGAACCAAATTGAAGGAAATGTATAGAATTGAACTAAACCCGGACACAAACTGAATCAAACTGAATTGCACTGGTTCGAGAACCACAACCAAACAGATTTGACCTGATTTCCAGGTCAAGTTATAACATAAAGTTCATTGGACAATGAGTTGAAAACCACTTCACAAAAGAGACAGAACAAAATCAAAGGTGAAAGAAATGTCTAGAAAAGAGGAAGTGACACCATGGAGTTTAATGTGAATGTCAATATCACCTAAATTATATATATCCGGTGTTTTAAAATCTTGCTATTCGATATGGAAAGAGAAGTCTTTATTTATATGAAATTGACAGGTTCAGCTGTTTAGAAGAAATGTTGAGGTCAAATAAGTTTGGAATACAAATCAAGACCTACTTGTGATAAACCCAATGGCTGATGGTTTGAGTCTCCCTACTGTTCTAGTGCTCTACTCTCTCACGAATTCAAAGGGAGAATCTATCTTGACTCTTGAGGTCCAGGTGTGCATGTCTCAAGCTTCTACGGGATGTTTCCAACACATTTCCCAAGCAAAATGTGATCCTAAGGAAAAGGAACTGACTTTCAAGATGGTGCCTTAGGTTTTAAGACTCTTATGAAAATACTAAGATAGCATCACAAATAAAAATTTATTTATATTATTATTGTTGAATACTATGTTCCTGGATTCAAAAAGAAAAGAAAGAATTCAAATATCAAATTTCTACTTTCTAGTACCTTTATTTGATGCACTTCCATCGAGAATGAACTTTCGAAGAGTAGTGCAGGAAGAAAAACAGCCAACAAAAGGTCAGGATCAATATTTGCCCCTGTAGAACAACTATTAAATCTTCTGGAAAACGAAGTGATACAGTGAAAACAAAATGGTTGAACATTTTATTGGTAATAAATGACATAGAGGCATCAAATTAACAGCAACATGGGCAGAAAATTGATCGCGCCATATGAAAATTGACTTCAATTCGAGCAGAGAATAAGTTTCACTTACAAATACGAATCCCGTCCCCAATCTTTCCCAACTGGTTATGCTTTCCATAATCTGTACCATGCAAAATTATCAATGAATTCAGTATTCAACATATAATAGTTAAGAGCAATCCAACCAAAATTTTGCTATATATACATACAGCATTACAGGCAAAAGTATGCCCACATACCAAAACAATAGCACAAACTTACCATGAGAAAACTCATTTCCACTCGAGGTTGGTCACACAGTCTAAAAATGGAACTCAATTAATAAGATTGAAGTAACCCCAAATTTGATTCCTAATATCCCCTGATCTGCTATTCATTTCCCCCTCCATCTTCTATTAGCACAAAAAATGAAAAGTACTCGCATAAGTTCAGTTACGAAATGAGTAGTAACCAAACTTTGCTTCCACCGTGCCCAACGTGTAAGCTATTTCAGATATTAAGCAAAATAGTACGGCATAATATACTTGAGCAGCAAAATTGCATGGACACCCGCAAAAGTGAACTTGATCACGAGTATTGCACAAAGCATCAAAGATAAAGCGCACAAAGAAGAGATCTATACGAGACCCGCTTACATTGATTTGGGCAAGTCAACCTCAAGAAGCAAGTGCACAACAGCAAAGCACAAGTATGGAGAAACACAGCCAAAAAGACATTAGAGTATTTCGATGGTTGGGAACTTACAGAGTAGAGGAACTTAGTTATGCCAAAAATCACATGGACTGAAGGTATAAAAAGAAACATTAGAGCATTGCAGCTTTATGAGTGTATGGCAGATGACAAAAAAGCGTAAAAATGAGAACTCGTGTGGATGACCAGAAAAGATTTTATAGAGGTTCATCTAGCCGACCCAAGTTATGAATATGAAGCCTTTCAATGTAAACCACAAAAATAGTGATGTATAACTCATATGTTGGATTTCCTCTTGTTGGGAATCATTATTTAGGCAACTTTTTTTACCAATTCAAATACCACTTTCCATACATAAAGCAATTATTGGTAGGTCACTTGAGGTCATCAATAATAGAGGGAATGGGAGAGAGCAACCAACCCAAGGCTCCGAGGGAAATGCCAATGAAGAGCAAAGAGACGGTGTAGGGCACTCTGGTACCCCTCAGCAGATGCCTGCAAGCGATCCCTAACACCAGGCTGATACCCACGAAGATAACCGCGTCCGTGGGGTTAGATTCTGGACCGGAGTTTGCCTCTTCGAGCTCTCTGAACGGCGGCATCATCACCAATGGAGAGCAAGCTGGATTCATCCCGCTCTGAAATTGACTGAACGAACGGGTAGGAACGAAGATTGATGTTTTTAGGCTTAGTAGCTCAGAATCCTGAGCTCTTAGAGTATCCTACCCCTAGGCTAATCAATAATCATGCTACTAGAGATTTAAATCAATATTCGTATAATATGCTCTTTTAATCTTAAATTTTGTCACTCTTTATCAAATTTTATTTGTTTGTTTGTTTATTTTGTTTATTTATTTATTAAGATAAAGTAAATTTATCGCCAATTATTTTATAGATTTTTTGATATAATTTTTAAATATATAATTTTATTTTTAAATTCAACACTAATTTTCATACTTCTTCGGTCTTCATTTTTATTACACTTTTATTTTATCTCCTCTCAGTAATTTTTATTTATTTGTGCATTTGTATTGAGTATTTGATAAAATAAAATACTCTTGTCATCTCTTGTTTTTTAAAACTTTGAACGTAGTTTTTAATATTTAATTTTTGTTTCTTAATAATGTACTAATTTGTAAATAAAATAATTTTAAAAATTGTGAAATTTACATCGTAATTCTCATTTTGTAATCAAAGTAGACACGGATGGGATATAAAACAAATTACTCCCTCCGTCCTATAATGATCTTCCTAGAGCACTATTCCAACTTCACGGGAATGTATATTTATTTGTGTTTTTTCATGGCCTATATGATAAAATAAAATATTCTTGTCACCACTTATTTTGTTGAACTTTTGATGTAGTTTTTAAATATGTATGTTTTATTTTTTATTTCTATACCAATATTTAAATAAAATAGATTCAAAAAACTTAAGATTTTTCTTCGTTTTGCGAACCGGAAAGATCATTATAGGACGGAGGGAGTATATAAAAGTGGAAATAACCTAGATGGACGAAGGGTAGCATCTCTAAGATTCTACCATAAAAATTTGATGTATCAAAATTATATTTTTAAATGAATTAAATTTATACTATAAATAAATATATATTTTTCATCATTTATACTAGAATACATAACATAAATGACCAAATTAATTAAACTATGATGTTCTTTTTATAATGAAATTAATATTTAAGATTGTTTTTATGATACACCTTGGGTGCATACATTTTTATGGATCTTCTGATATGAAAAATTCATTTTAAAAAAATATATGCTTATTAAAGTAGAAAAAATATTTATTTTAATCATATATAATTTCATAGTAGATCTCCAACATATAATTTGCTAGTCATGCTAGGGTATATCAATTTTACACATTTTTGATATTTAAATGATTGGAAAACAAAAAGAGTCATTTTACCATACTTTATTACGTCATACTCCACATTGATTGAATAATGAATATACGAGAATCTGCTGGCTTCTCACACAAGCGCCATGCACTGCACTTTATTACTCTTCCTCCCCCTCCAACCATTTCTATTCGTACCATTCCTCTAAAATCTACAGAGCAAATCACTTCCGACCCCAACAATTTTTGTTCTCTCCCTTCAACTCTCTCTTTGTGGGCATAGGGTTGGACACGGTACGGTTCCAGGCCGGTTCCGGTACCGCCACCCCTAGGTACTGATACCGTGACCGGACCGGGCGGTACCGGTTCCAGTACCCGGACCGGCAGTTCAGGTACCGGACCGGCCGGTTTCGGCCACCCCCAATTTTTTTTTTTGTTTTTTTTAGAATTTTTAAAGTGTAAAATTGTAAATTTGCAATTGTTAAAGAAAAGATTGAAATAAAAAATCTAAAAATGTAGTTGTTATTTAAATATTGTAAAATGAGTAATACACAAACTGAAGAACAACTACATTTAATATCCTAACAGTTCAAAAAAGCGACGAGGTAAAGAACCGTAAAGAAACCCTCGAAGGAGCTTATATACCGCTTACCTAAAAAAACTAATTACATATTTAAATTAACATAAAAAAGCGTTTATAACTTATTCCTCATAACTCGGACTTCCATCTGTGGTTACATTCATGTAATGCTCCGAATTGAATTCGTACCCTGACTCTTGAGCTCGCCATCTTGCCAAGAGCCAATCTTGGTTGCAAACAAGTGTTTCAAGAGATTCAGCGTTAAGACAACTTCGAAAGTCGGTTAGAATGTTGCCGCCAGCACTGAATTTTCGTTCCACAGCTACGGTTGATACCGGGACGGACAACACTTGTCTTGCTAGCTTTCCAAGACATGGGAACATGTGTTCGTTCCGCTTCCACCACCCGAGGACGTCAAACTCCACGTCGTCTTCGTCGTAATCGCATGGCACCCCTTGGTACATACCAAGTTCGTTGTGCGAGCTTACTGTTGTACCACATGAACTCGTCGAAGGCTGAGCAAGCTTCCCTTTCTTTGCAAGAAGCCCACTGACTATTCCTTTAAAACTTTTTTTTTTATTTGGGAGGCGGAGGAGGTGTTGTTTCTTCTGGTACAGTACCGTATAACCCTTGATATTCCTTAAACAAATCCTCAAAAAGAGTTATAGCATTATCTCTTTCATTTTTCCATTCTATTAAATGGTTGTAGTAATAACTATTTTCATCTAAAAAAACAAGTGTAGTAATAGTCAATTAAAATTTAAAAATTTTTAATCTTAAAGCGTGGATCACAAATAATACCTATTTTATAAATATCGGGAATGTACAAATAATAAGCACACCATTTATCTCTCATATGAGAGACATAAGGGTACAAATTTGGATCAGCCAAACTCTCACGAAAACATGTTGCGATTGTAACGCATTCTTTAAAAAATGTATTTGTAGTTGGTTGGTAAACATGCGAAAAAGTAAGAGTTGCATTATTAAAAACTTCTAATACGGCATTCAATTTGTCAACAATAACAAATTCAATAGGTGAAATGATTATACGAAGTTCATCACTAAAAAATTCAGCAAGTTCCTCTTTATAGCTTAGAATCTGTGCTATCAACTTGTAAGTACTATTCCATCTAATGTGGATATCTTTGGCAAATGTTATTTCTCTTATACCCTTAGACTTACAGAATATTTTCCAAGACCTCGAAATAAGACGAGCCTCCCAAATTTTTCTAATTCCTTCTTTAATATTCGTCACCCCCATAGATTCGAGTCCCTGTTGAACACATAAATTTAAAACATGACAGGCACATCGTTGATGTAAAAATCTACCCATACTCGTAGTAGAGGGGCAAATTTCTCTAAGTCTAAGAATAGCAGCAGTATTATTAGTAGCATTATCAAAACCAAATGCAAAAACTTTATCAGCTAAGTTGTATTCCCGCAGAATACTCTGAAGCAATAGAAAAATATTTTCAGCAGTATGAGAATCATTGAAATCACGAAATGCAAGAACACGTTTATGCATAATCCAATCACTATCTATCCAATGACAAGTAACACCCATATAGGACAAATTATGATAAGTTTCACTCCAAATATCAGAACAAATAGCAACACGAGAATTAAAATTGAGAAAAAAAAATTCCAAATTTATTTTTTCAGTTTTATACTGGCGAATAATTTCTCGTTTAATTGTTTTTCTTGAAAAACCTCTTGCTTGAGGGTTTAATGTTTGTTGACAATAATCAATAAATCCAAGTTTTTCAGAAAACATGTATGGCAAATTTTCTTCACAAATCATTTCGGCCATTTTTTGCTTATTTTGCTCGTCGCTATAAGCAAAAAGGCCGCCCTTACCTCTGTTAACAAACTGAGGAATTTCGGTTTGCACTTCTTGTCGTCCCTTCTTTTTCGCCGCGTATTTGGCGTACTCCACAGGATGCCTCGACCTTAGGTGTTTTTCCGGACCGCCATAACCGCCGGAAACTCCCATTTTAATGACGCTCACACAATAATTACAAGTTCCATAAACTACGTCATCTTTTGTTTTTTTTGAAAATGATAAACAAATAAATTTGATTTTAATTTTTTTTACCTTTGTCCGGACCTCGAGAGGTCTCGGGCTCACCTGTCTCCATGTCGACTTCGTTGCTGTGCGGTGTAGGCTCCCCGTCCCCATCCAGATTATCCAGTCCTGCTTCATCAACATCCTCGAATAGACTATCAAGAGCGGGGAGATTCGCGTCCCCTCTACCAGAATAAATCTGGTCGAATTCTTCACCCGTCATACCGTCCCCGATGAATTGATCGGGGATAGTAGGAAAGGAAGAGACGGAGTGTCTTCCTCGAGAACCATGTGAGGTCGAACCGTCGGAGGTGCCTTTAGCTTTGTCTTTCCTCAAACTTCGGTTCACGACGCCCATATCCACGGATCTTCTACCGGACTCTCTCGACATTTTAATATATATATATATATATATATATATATATATATATATATATATATATATATATATATATATATATATATTGATAAAAAGGACTATATTAAATATTTAAAATATTAATTATATATTAAATTTCGAAATTATAATATTAATTTAAAAAAATTAATAATATAATATGTTAGTAAATAATAATATATCAATATATATTTATATTATTTTATGAATATAAAATGTATAAAGATTAAAAAAGAGATAATAAGAATTAAAAGAGAATTAGAGGGGAAATGAGGAATATATTGAAAAATGAGTGATTGAGAATATTTGAGATTTGAGAAATAGAGAGTTGAGAATTGAGATTTGAGAGAGGAGAGTGTGTGATTTTTTTTTAAAAAAATGAATATATTTATAGTAGAACCCCCCCCCCCATCCCCTTCCCCTTCTCCTCAACGGCTAAATAGCCGTTTGAGGGGTCCCTCCCCCTTAACCTATTTAAATTTTTTTTTACAGGAGTGGCTGGCAGCCCCCACTTGTTCCTCTTCCCGTTGGAGTCCCCCTCCCCCCTTTAATCAATTGTTGGCTTTTTTTTCAGGTGGTGGGCCGGAGCGCCAGACAAGTTGCAGGCGTGCAGGCAAAAAAAAATCTATTCACGGTACCGGTACCGGCGGTTCCGGAACGAAAATTTGGGAACCGGTACCGGTTGGGGCGGTTCCGGTACCGGTTCCCGGCACCGGAGATACGTACCGTTCGATGGTGACGGTTAATGGTACCGGCGGTACCGTTGCCGGTAACGGTACCGTACCGATACCGTGTCCAGCCCTATATGGGCGTTGCGCAGTAGACAAAGTAAGGAATACAAGGATGTAATAACTGAGTTTGATTCATGACAATTAGGCTAAATGTAAGACCTCTGCAAATACCAGGTACAGACTTTACTTTTTTCCATCAATCTGCGATCAAAATCCAATTTATCACCTCTGAGTGACCGTCCGATCAGGTCTGATGAGACCTTTGGGGATGAGACTCATTCTTTTTTTTACTACCCAAGTAACACTTTTATTCCATTTCAGAACTCTAAAACATTCCATTCTTGATAATCTCATATGGAGTATCATGCATTCCGCATGAATCCTCATTTTTAAATAATATAATACTCATCTCGAATACGAAATATTCAATTATTTTACATTTATATAAAATGTACATTTACGAGTAACACATAACTCACTTCAATTAAAATCAAAGACGGATCTATAGAGTACAACTAAAAGAAAGAAATGTGCAAAATGAGTATTCAATTACTCTCAAATGAATACTTGTCGTGGATGTGTGAGAAATACCGAATATCTGATTATAGCATATATATTGCACTCAATCGTAGCAAGGTGCTTTTGTGAATGTTAGGGAACTACTTCAGAATCTTTTCATCTGCCAGGGTATAGCCCAAGGCTACGATAGAAAATGTATATCTCATATATGCATCATGAAGTTAGATATCTCTAAAAGATATGTTTTTATTGATTGGGTTGCTTTCGATCTAATTTTAGAATTCATTAAATTTCCCATATAGTTCTAGGACTCAATAGATTTTGTGTCACTACTACTTCACATTAATTGATTTGTAGTGAATACTTTGATAAGTTTGTTTTGTTCTTATCATTTACATCATATCCTAAATGTTATTGCACGTAAATAGTATTTAATCACCTCATAAAATGTGATTTCAATTAATAAAACTCCTATTTTCTCTCTAAGAGTCATAAAAAAGGGGATTCCACATGAAATCATCACAAATCATCGATTTTATGTTCAAATATTCGTGAAAAGGAGAAAGAATTATCAAGAGATCAAGATTCAGGCTTAAAAGCTTCCGGGGGGGTCAAAAACACTGTTCGAGGCCAACAAGAAGCGAAATTGGACAAAATTTACGAGCCCAACGGACCAGAGGCCTAAGCCATCCAACTTGGACGTTTGGCCAAGTTGGACGCTTCACCTATATTGCAACCCAAGAATGACACGTGGTAGAAGTATATTGGCTAGGACATGTAGCCAAAGCATCTAGACATGTAGCCAAAGAATCTAGCCAAAGCGTCCGGCCCTATAAAAGTAGTGCCTCATCTCTTGATTTGCATACTTATTCCATCCCATTCCTCCCATTTTCGATTTATATACTCCCCTCTCTATTTCAGCTTATAGATTAGTAAAATAGTTTGTTTAAAAGTATTTTCAGAGGATTTCTACTCAAGATTATTTTATTCCGCTTGTTCGGAAGTTGTAAATTTTCCCAATTTAATATAATGCTATTTTAACTATTTTGCATAGTATGAGTTAGGGTTTGGACCTCCGGGTCTGGAATAGTTTGATTATATACTTTGAATATTTGATTAATGTTGGAATGCTTATTCTAGAACTGTTCTTGCCTTATTTAGTTAATTAATACTAAAAGATTTAATTAGATATTTATTTAGAAAATATTATATATATACACACACACACAATATATACACACACACGATGTAAGGCCATAGTATCCAAGACAAACAGTGTAATTACAAATCCTAGTAATAGGTGAATAATAGTAGAAATATGATCGCTCCAACTGTTAATTAAATGTGTTATAATTAACATAGATGATGTCCTGACCCTATGTCCAGATATTGCTTATACTATGTAAATAAATTTACTTTCATTATTGCTCTCTTTTATTTTGCTTCGAGAAGACTTTCATAAACTCATCATAACCTTCGCCTAGTTAAAGAAATTAGCTACTTCCATTCGTCAACTCCTCAAGAGACACAACACTCGAAGAGAAAACTAACCCCAGAAGCGGAAGGTTTACTACCCGAAAAACTACAATTACCAAATGGGATCATTGTCGGAGGGTCTCCTCCTTTTATCCTATTGCCATTAAGCCACAGGGTTGAGTCAAGGATCCTAGACCTTGACCAAGTAAAATATCAAACAAAGTGGCATCAGAAGAGCGTCAGAAGGGCTAAACTCTATGACTCTCGGATCGGGAAGTTACAAAAAAGTGGGTGAGCATCAAGCTATAAACGTTAACGAAGCACTAAATGGGAGGCAACACCAATCATTATATATAATAATTTTACTATTACAATTATACTTGCCACACCAACTATTGGGGGCAAGGTTTTACTTGTTTT